AGCTACAGTACTTTTCAGTAACTGCTCATAGAATGCTATCACAAAGTCCTGCATTGGACGCTGCTCTTTTCATATGGCTCTGGTAGCTTCTATGGTAACTTCCAGACATAACTTAGTACAGAGATAATACGAGCATGATAAAAAAGCACCAGTGGGATAGACAGTACCTTGGCCAAGGACTGTTTAAAACAAGATGTACACACCAACAGACCCCTACATCCCCCCTTACCCTCTCAAAAATAAATAAATAAATAAATTTAAAAAAAAAAACCACCAATCAACAAAAACTTTTAAAATCCCCCCAAATTCACTTTTTTGCGAATAATACTATCTATCAGCAGAGAATTATACAACAAAAATAGGAAGGCTTCCACCAAGAAAATGAAGCAAGATTCTCAAGCCTGCAAAGCTACTTTTACAAGAAGAGAAGTCACATGACAGAGCCTAAAGCTCACAAAGCCCACACTTTCTCAGCAACTGCATGCAGTGAACAAAAGTGATTCTTCCTCTCCACACAAGAGTAGAACTGTGCCACAGCACAGTTGCTTGCAGCAACCAAAACTATACATGGATTCAAAGGGCTCAAATATCAAAAGACAACTTTACCTCAAGGAAACGTTCAACCAACGTCTGAAGAAAAGAAGTACCAAAGGAAAAAAGTCTTTCTTTCATATGCCTCCCTGTATATTTTAACTCATGATCGCTGCTACAGAAAGCCTGTAGGGCAAGAAGGATATCTCACATAATCCAACCCACTTGCTCTGAAGCTGCAAACACCACTCCTGCAAGTACACAATGTGACAAAGCACTAAAAAACGGCTTACCTCTTGTGATGGGTGACTAACACTGAAGCAGGATGGAACAGCCAAGAAAATTAGAAAAGCTGGGCAGATGCGTGGGCTGTAGTCAACAAGAACAGCAAGAGACTTTTTGAACTATGCCTAGTGTTTGACCCACTTCTTATAAGAACTCTCTAGCCTGACAAAACATCTATAAAAGCTTTCCAGATTGCACAAGGAGAGCTCTGGTCAGCTACACCGGCATAAGATTGGAATCTGTTCAAATCTGCATCACATCATCTGTTCAAGATGCAAAGGGCAAAACAAGCAGCATGTGTCAGCACCAGTCACAACTCTTCAGTATCAGTCGGATTCCTGTTCACCTCCTTCATTTCTTACTGTCATTGAATCAGCACTACAAAACTCAAAATAAAAAAATCTAGGAAATTCAAACTGGAAGAGAGAAAGCTTTCTAAAAGCTAAGAAACAATGCAATTCACGTAGTCACGTTTGATGAAAGCTGGCCAGACAAGAGACCGTTCAAGGTATACACTGAAGGAAAAAACTCCCAAGACCATTAAAACACTGGAAAAGCAAAGAATTAGGGAAGCAAGTCAGTAAAAATAATGAAAGGAAAGGTCATTGGAGATATATTATAGACAAACTAATTAAAGTCATGTGTGGCAATTCTGAACTAAGAAACAAGTGAAACAAAAATATATTAGGAGTGGAAGAATACAGATAGACTGACTGACCCACTTCCACCTCAGTATCACATTTGCTGGAGCACATAGGACACTATTTTAAACATCACTCTAACACATAAGTACAAAATGGTATGAGGAACCAAAGGAACTATGGTGAAAAACCACTAGCACATCTATCATAGCAGTAACATCATCCTTCTTCTACTTTAAGAAGACTAACAGAGCTATTCAAAAGGGGAAAGGCCTCCTCATTAACAGAAGCACAGAACTGGTGTCAAAATACACCCAAAGAGAAATCACCAAGAGCAGTTAGAGGATTACGCTGTTAGCAAGGAAAGCCTTTTCCAGTTTGGTGCTTTGCCATACACAAGGGTCAGTGAACATATATCTCAGGAAGAGCATGCTGAACCTGGAAATTCACAGTATTAACCTTCACAGTATTAACACTACAAGTTGTTGGGGTTTTTTTATGGATAACTCTTAACTATTTCATAAGCATTGGCATATAAGGGCTGAACCCTTTCTCCATTATGTCTTCCACTGTAATGCTAAACAATGAAAAATAACACAAACAATATTAGAAACTCTACCAAGTGATTCTCCAATAAACAAATTCACTAGTATAACAGAACTCTGACCACACAGTAAGTTCAGAGGAAAAGAAGTGTCACTTAGAAAAAGCATCAGGAGAAACCACTAGTCCCATAAACAGCATAGGCATACCCAAAAACAAAATATTATCTGAGCTGAAAGTCAAAATTTAGCAAAGCTGAAAATCCAACAACATATTAGACATTTAAAGACAAGAACTGTCCAAAAGAAACCATTAGAATAAAATATAACAGGAAAGAAGAGTGATCATTTCCATTACAAGGGCAAAACAAACCAAAGTTTTGTCTGTGACATTTGCTGCTGCTTCCATGGAAGAATGAAATTCTTCCAGGAAGAATGAATACCTTTAGTTAAGCTTTACATAGAAAAGAAGTAATCTCAGATAAGAAATCAAAACATTACCTCAACCTTTAACTTCTGATTCTCTCCAATAATGACAGAAGCCACAGAATTCCAATAGTAAAATGCTAATACCAAGAATACCAAGTGGCTCATAGACTCAGTATAGTATAGGTCATATTTCTCTCAGAGACTTAACAGAGTAACTGACACAACAAACTGAGATCAGTTTGTATTGTCCACTCATTATCACACTTGCATCAAAAGTAATTCAGAAACAGTAAAGGTAAAGGCTGAAGGAAAACAAAAAATCAAAACAAATGAGGCAAATCAAGTTCACACCCAGCCCTCAAAGAATGTTTCTAAAACACAAAACTGCATTTTATTTAAAGTTGCTATTTAAATCCTAATACAAAATGAAAAAACGTTTAGTAGTTTAGGGGTATGCTATCAGCTTTACTTTATATCTGCCATATTTACCGTGTTTGTTTCACATGCAAGTAAATTAAATGCAAGTGTAAGTTTGAGACATTCACTGCACTGAAAAGAAAAAGATTTGCTGACACAATATAACTTCTCTCTGCTGTGGGAATACTGACTATCGTATATCAGAGCCCATCTGTTAAGCAATGACTGATCCAGAATGCATCGCTACTGCAGCAGACTCCCAAGTAGTTTCACATTTACGTCTCCCAATGCTGAGTGCACTGTTAAATATTCTTATGTTTATTTTTAAATATAAGCATAGTTTTCAGCAAGTGGAACTAATAAGTAGGTAGATCTTAGGCAAGCACTGTATGTCCCCAACACAAATACCAAAAGACATCCTAACCTCCCCCCCTAAAGACAATCCAGTGTTAGTTCAGTTGCTGATGCATTAACTGCCAGAATTAAAAATAAGCTTAAATATCTGTAAGAAGAATGAAAGAAGAAAGAAAACCTGGAAAAAATTAAATCTATTTGTATCTGTCATGAACTATACAAAGCCAGTTAACAAAATAATTGTATGTTATTCCCTTATTTCAAGTGTCACTTTTAAATGAATGGGTAATAATCCAGTAAAGTTATGATGACTTGTACCAGAGTTGCATGAAAGAAAACAAAAATATTTACGAATCTCATTTCAGTTAAGTGTCAAACAGTTTGTTATAAGGAGTAGGAAATATACCAGATTATTGCTTTGACATATTCACAAAACTACTAGGGCTTTAACCCTGTGTGTTCAGATAAACCATAAATATTTATATGATCTGACTAAACCATGTCTTTCCCTGCATGCTGCAGCTTTTCCATTCAGCCTGTGCTAGGTCAAACGCAAATAACTGTCAAACAGAAGAATGCATCCTTTTAAAGTGTTTTAAGCAAAATACATTCTTTACATGACTTTGTATAAAATAAGTGGACCTTAGAAACATGAAACTCATTTGAAACAAAGGCAGTTTCAATTAAATGCCATTCAGCTTTGAGTAATCATTTTTCTATCCAATTTTATATGCAAAAATTTAGGATATTTCATTGACTGAACTGCTTCGAAAGCTTTGCTGCAGCAAATCTTGCATTCAGGAGCAGCACCAAATTGCACGTAATTGAAAGTGATTCATTTTTAGAACCACTCGTTTGGCTTCTGTAGATTCCTCAGGCTTTGGTGTAGGTAGCGCAAAAACATTAAGTCATACAGTCCTGCAGTAACTCTTTCACTCCATGAAGTGAGCAGATGACTAAGGAGCTACATTTTAGCATCTTCTTGTTTCAAGCTATTTAGCAATGTACAATACTGTTTTGCAATGCAGACCTTAAACAAACCTTAACAGACCTCAAACAAAATTAGCAACAGTGCTTACTTTGCAGACAAGAATGTTTTGGAAAGCATGGCAGAGACACGAGCAACCCAATACAACACTGCAATATAACTAACTCTTTATTACAGATATTAAAGCATTTCAAATCCTTGCAAAAATCTCCCTCCTCCTCCCCCTTCCTCTACATAAAATACTAAACTAGCTCAGAGCTACTAGGGCTAAACCCTTCACGTTTCAGCCACTAAGAAAGGGTACAAGCTCCTGATTCTTTTTTTAATCTTTTTCAATTAAAACCAGATACTACATTCATGCCACTCATCCAGTGAGGAAGCCACCAGGTTATAGGGCTGCGTCGAGAACTCGAAATTGAGAATTATTTAATCTCCTTCTTACATTGTGAATTTCACACTCTGCAGGAAGGGGGAGGCACGGGGAAGGGGAAGAGTGGCCTGTCTGTACTAGGAAGGGTCCTGCGTGGAGTTTAGGGAGCGCTGAGGGGGCTTCTGTCACGCGCACCACGATGAGACGAGCAGGTCGCGGGATTAACCAGAGAGGAACAAGAGGAGTTTGGGAAGGAAAGATGGTTGGAGAAGGGCCGTACGTGTTGGAGGGACACAGGGGCTGGGAAAATGAAGGTCGCTTTCGGGTTGCACAGGGGCGGGGGTGCGGGGAGACGCCTCGGGAGCAGGTGGGCTGCGCCGGTCGGTGCCCAGGGCCCCCCTGCCCCATAGGGCGTCACCGGGGCGGGTTGCCCGGCCGCTTACCAGGTTCAGCACCGTCTCCACGATGTCCCGGTTGCTGACCTCCCCGACCTGGATGAGTCCGATGAGGACGGCGAATTTCATCCGAATATTGCGGATCGGCACCGACGGGTTAATCATCCCGGCGGGGGGCACCCACGGCCCGGGGGCCCAC